TGTAGTGCAATTACTTACTTTTTAATAAATTTAGTGTAACCTAAGCATGCAGTGTTCATAAAGCACAGTAGTGTACAGTGATGGCCTAAGTGTTCACATTCACTCACCATTCACTCAGTGATTCACCCAGATCAACTACCAATTCTGTAAGCTCCATTCATGGTAAGTGTCCTACACAGTTATACCATTTGGTTATCGTTTATACCATACCTTTACTGTACCTTTTCTATGTTTAGATATTTTTAGATACATAGATATTTATCATCGTGCTATAATTACCTATAGTATTCAGTACAGTAACATGCTGTACAGGTTGGTAGCCTAATAGCAATAGGCTATCCCCTCCAAGTTTATGAAACCACAGTGTATAACCACTGTTTGCTCAATGGCAAAATCACCTAACAATACTTCTCAGAATGTATTCCCATCATTAAGGAATGCACAACCATAGTTATAATACAAGAGGGAGGGAGAAATCCGGGATTACAAAAGAGCTAGAAGAAATATCTACCACTGGCAAAACAAAAACTAGGGTACCCACCCTGAGATGAAAAAATGAAGTATCTCAGGAATGAAAAAACAGATACTGCATGTTCTCACTTAAGGGGGAGCTAAGCAAAGAGCATGCATTGTCATACAGAGTGGCATAATGAACACTGGAGACTCGGAAGGGAGGAGGTTGAGAAGGTGGAGGAGAAATTACCTGTCAAGTATAAGGTACACTGTTCAGGCGACAGGTACAGTAAAAGCCCTGACATCGCCACTATACAATTCATCTGTGTTACAAAATACCATTTTGTATGCTTTAAATCCACTAAAGTAAATTTTTTTAAGAAGGAAATGAAAATGAAAATCCTCCCAAAGAATTTGTAAGCAAAGACTAGCTATCATGTGTGTTGGGATTTGAATTTTAATTACTTGTGGAATCTAATTTGAATTTATTACCTTTATAATGGATTTGATATATTAACATGCTAAGAAAGTTTCAAATAGGTAATAACTCTGGGACACTGGCATAAATAAATACTATTTTCTCTAAATGGGTATTTACTCAAGCCAGGACTTACAGGATTCCCACAGATTAAGCCCTGTCCCCCAAATATGAGCTCCCAAACAAAACCACAAACCATATGAGGAAAAGAAACCCCAACAAGAGTCAACAGAAAGGAAAACAATAATTTTATATTACAAAGTTGTCAAATAGTGACTGCAAAATACATGATAAAAACAAAAAGAAAAATAAAACTTTTTTTTTTTTGAGACAGAGTGTAGGAGACCAGATTCAAGGGAAGGAGAAGCAAGAGTTAAGCTTTGCGGGTGGTGCCTGTGGCTCAAAGAGTAGGGCGCTGGCCCCATATACCAGAGGTGGTGGGTTCAAACCCGGCCCTGGCCAAAAAAAAGAGTTAAGCTTTGCATGCGCTGTACCTATAAGAAATACCTGTGATATAACATCTTGATAACTCCGTGGTGATAACGCATGGGGACGGGATTCGGCTCTCATTAGCACAAGAGCATGAGTATTAGTGTTTGGCAGTCTCCACACCTGTGGTATATAAATAGCCACGGGATCATTTCTATAAGTAGCTGCAGGAAAGGTTAGCCTGGATTCATTCATTCTCTCACGGACTCGCTCACTCTAACTCAGTGGTTCTCAACCTTCCTAATACACGACCCTTTAATATAGTACCTCATGTTGTGGTGACCCCCAAGCATAAAATTATTTTTTTGCTACTTTATAACTGTAATTTTGCTACTGTTATGAATCACAATGTAAATATCTGATATGTAGGATGTATTCAGGTAACCCCTGTGAAAGGGTCATTCAACCCACAAAGGGGTCTAGACCCACAGGTTGAGAACCGAACTCTTCTGCTCCTCCTGCTCAGAGAGTGCCTACCCGGTGCCCTTCTACGAAGACTGCTAAGATTCGCTCTCCTACTAAGACTGTTTCTCTCTCTCAAAGACTGATTCATTCTCTCTCTGCCCCCCAAGCAAATTGCCCTCTGACACCTAAGGGGAGTTAATCCCGAGCAAGGTAGCACAGCAGTCCATGCATCCAGACAGTTAGATAGGCCAGGGCTGGCAACCTGGCAACCCAGGCCAGACAACAGAGTCTCACTTTATTGCCCTGGGTAGAGTGACCTGGTGTCATAGCTCACAGCAACCCCAAACTCTTGAGCCCAAGCAATTCTCTTACCTCGGCCTCCCAAGTAGCTGGGACTACAGGTGCCCACAACACCTATTTTTTTAGAGACGGGGGTCTCACTCTTGCTCAGGCTGGTCTCAAACTTGTGAACTCACACAATCCACCTACCTTTGCCTCCCAGAGTGCTAAGATTACAGGCATGTGCCACTGCACCTGGCCCTGAATAATAAAATTCTTAAGAAGGATGTTGTCAAAAGAGAATTGAGGTCAGGCCCAGTGGCTCACACCTGTAATCCAACCATTCTGGGAGGCCAAGATGGGTGGATCGCTTGAGCTCACAAGTTTGAGACCAGCCTGAGCAAGAGCAGGACCCCCGTCACTAAAAATGGCTGGGCATTGTACCAGTGCCTATAGTTCCAGCAACTTAGGAAACTGAAGCAAGAGGATCACTTTAGCCCATGAGTTTGAGGTTGCTGTGAGCTATGACTCCACGGCACTCTACCAAGGGTGACAAAGTGAGGCTCTGTCTCAAAAACAAAAAATAAAGAGAACTGGGCAGATATATAAAAGAACCAAATAAAATTCCTGGAAAATAAAAATAAAATTATTAAAATTAAAAACTCAGTGGAAGAGTTAGCAGATATAACTCAGCTAAAAAGAGAGTCAACAAACAAAAATCTCTATCTAAAGAAATGACAAGAAGATGAAGTGTAGAAAAATAAAGAAATGGAAAAATAGAAAGGATGTTATGGGCACATTACATAACATTGTGGGTGAGTGACTCAGAACTTCTGGGTTGGTCTTGGGACTTCCCCTTGGACTTTCCCCAAAATCAAGAACTAACTAGACTGAGAATTGAAGAAACAACCAATAATCAGGAGGTTTGAAAATAAACAGACCTAGGTGGCACCTGTGGCTCAGTGAGCAGGGCATCGACCCCATATACCAAGTGTGGCGGGTTCAAACCTGGCCCTGACCAAACTGCAAAAAAAAAAAAAATAGCTGGGCGTTATGGTGGGCACCTGTAGTCCCAGCTACTTGGGAAGCTGAGGCAACAGCACCTAAGCCCAGGAACTGGAGGTTGCTGTGACCTGTGATGCCACACCACTCTACAGAGGGTGACAAAATGAGACTCTATCTCTAAGAAAAAAAAAAGAAAACAAACAGACCTCATTGGCTGGGATGGGTTAGGGGTGATCGTCAGGATACACACCCAACACTCTCCACCTTTTATCAGCAACCCTTGCTTGGTAACCCCTTCCGAGTCTATGTGGAAGCCTTCTTGCTGTTAAATCAGCACTGATGCCCACTCTTTGAGTCTGACCCTTTCATTTCAAGCTGTAACACTTGTGGCTGCCGC